TGCATAGCAACCCTATATTCCTCCTGTCTCTGCCACACGTGAGTCAGTGCCAACATCCTATCTTTTTTTTTGGTACTGGGGAATGAATTTAGGGCTTTGTGATGGCTAGGCAGGCATGCTACCACTTGATGATACGTATGCCTCCATCCCTTTTTGCTCTGGTTATTTTTGGAGAAGGTCTTGCTTTTTTGCCCAGGCCAGCCTGGACTGTGATTCTCCTATTTTAAGCTTCCCACTGTAGCTGAGATGACAGGTGTGTGTCGCCATGCCCAGCTTTCTCCCCAAGCCTTTTCCCTGTTGAGACAGGGTCTCACGTAGCTGCTATCTTTGTGATCTCAGCCTCCTGCATAGCTTGGGATAACAGGTGTGTGCCATGGTGCTCAGCTATTGGTTGAGACGGGGACTCACAAAGTTTTTGCCTGGGCTGGGTCTCAGTCTCCCCAGTGACTAGGATTACAGGCTTGAGTCAGTGGCACCTGGCAGGAGTCAGGCTCTTTCCAGCTTTCTACATCCTAGGCAGAAGCCATAACAACTGTATTACTTTTTAAAAACTCAGATTCACAAAATTGAATATTTTAACCATTTTAAAATGTATGGTTTAGTGGCATTTAGTACATCCATTATGTTGTGCAAACTATCATCACTATTTAGTTCCAGAACACTGTCACATCCCCAGAGGAAACCTGTACCCATTAGCAGTCCTTCCCCATTTCTCCCTCCCTTCTGATCTGGCACCTGTCTAATCTTTCTGTCTCTATTAATTTGCCTATACTGGACTTTTCATATAAATGTTCTCACATAATATACACTCTTTTGTTTCTAGCATCTTCCTCTTCATATACTGTTTTCAAGGTTTACCTCATGTTCTAGCATGCATCAGTACTTCATTCTTTTTTTACAGTTGAATAATATGCCACTGCCTGCATAGACCATAATTTGTTTATCCATTAGATGAACACTTGTGTTATTTCCACTTACTGGCTGTTGTGAATACTGCTGCTATGAACATGTTCATACAAGTTTTTTTGAACACCTGTTTTCACTTGCGGGGGGGGCGTATATACCTAGAAATAAAATTGGTTCATATGGTAATTCCATGTTTAACTTTTTGAGGAACAGCCAAGGAGATTTCCACAGCAGCTGCCTCATTCACATTCCCACAGCAACACATAAGGGTTTCAATTTCTCCACATCCTCACCAATACTTGGCATTTTCCATTTTGTGGAACCATCTAGTAGGTATAAGTATCTCACTATGCTTTGTTTTGGTTTTGGTTAATAAGGATTAAACCCAGGCCCTTGCAAATGCCAAGCATGCATTCTGCCACTGAGCTACACCCCTTGCCCTCGCTATGGTTTTAATTTGCATTTCCCTAATGACTAATGGTTCTGAACATCTTCTCGTGGGTTTATTGGTATTTGTTTACCTTCTTTGAAGAGTTGTCTATTCAAGTCCTTCACTCATTTTTATTGTATTGTTTGTCTTTTTGTTGTTAAATTGTAAGAGCTCTTTATATATTCTGGATCCTAGATCTAATCTAATCAGATTAGATTTCTGATTTGCAAATATTTTTTCCTATTCTATGGGTTGTCCTTTTTTACTTTCTTGATGGTGTCCTTTGATACATAAAAGTTTTTAATTTTTAAGAAGTCCAGTTTTTCCAGTTTTTTCTTTTGTTACACATGCTTTTGATGTCATATCTAAAACCCACTGCCAAGTCCTTAGACATGAAGATTTCCCTTGTTTCTTCTAAACATTTTATAATTTTAGCTTTTATAGAGAGATCACTGATCCACTCCAAGTTAATTTTTGCTTATTTGTTTTGGTAGTACTGGAGTTTGAACTCAACCACCACTCGAGCCATTTGAGTTGATTTTAATATATGGTGAGAGGTAGGGATCCCAATCCATATGGACATTCACTGGTTCTAGGTCAAGTGACTACAGATATATATGGGGTTTTTCTGAACTCTCAGTTCTATTCCATTAATTTGTTGTACTACTTTTGAAGTGGTTATTGTTTTCCCTCAAGAATAAATGGGAAGAAAGGAAGTGAGTTCAGAGAACAGGTCATTTTTTTCAGCAAATTTGGTTGTGATGAAAAAGAGAATGGACACAGCTAGAGGGGAATGAAAGGAAGGTGTTTTAAAAGCATTAATATTTGTTTTACGTTTCTCATATGCCCCACACTTTACCAGCTATTTACCAGATATTTTCATAAAATATCTCATTTAATGCTCACATCCATCAAGATTATCTCCATTCTATAAACAAGGAAACCAGGATTCAGTGCCATTAATTAATAGCTTGTCCACAGGCACACTGAGTGGCAGTCAAAATTATACCTCAAGTTTGTCTGATTTTTTTATTCAGTATTTTTCCTCCTTTCTTGTTTTGTGTTCAGTTTGGGGTATAATTTTGAAGTGCCTTTGGATCTACAAGGATATATCTGATTGGCGTTCAAAAAATACACCTTTTAAGGAGAAGGTGAAGGGGTGGTAACTATAACTGAAGTACTTCACATGCATGTATAAAAGCAGAATAATGAAACCTGTTAAAATGTTTAAAAGGGGGGATAAGAAGGAGTAATAGAGAAGGTGCATTTGATCAAAGTACATTATTCAACAAATATTTATGAAGCATCCTTTATGTAACATCAATGTGAGACCCTGCAGGTCTAGAAGTGAACAAGATAGACTTGGTACCTGTGCTTATTGGACCTGCAGTCTACTGAGCTAGACACCCCTGTGTTCCTTCTAGTTTTTTGAATACTAACTCTGAATTTCCTTTTTTACTTGAATTTTATATGTGCTCTGGGATTCTATTTGAGACACAGACCTAGACCTTTTCATATTCACTTTAGGTGATTCTTCCATTCCCATGGCTTCAACTACTCTTATGTATGGATTATGTTTAAACTTTTATTTCTAATCCCAGCCCTTTTTTGAATTTTAGGCTATATGTATTTTTTCTTTTTTATTAGTGTATTTTAATTTTACAAAGGAGTTTCATTGTGATCTGTCCATACAAAATTTAAGGGTTAGAAAGAGAAGGAGTAAAAAAGGTAATTCAGAGTTAGTGTTCAAAGAACTGGAAGGAACGCAGAGGTGTCTAGCTCAGTAGACTGCAGGTTCAATAAGCATAGGTACCAAGTCCACTTCTAGATCTGCAGGGTCTCACAATGATGGTACATAAAGGATGCTGAATAAATATTTGTTGAATACATAATTGGCTGGCATTGATCCTGAAGAAGAATATTTTCAGGAGACTCTTCAAAACTATTAAATGCTTTTGAAAAGACAAGAAAAGATAAGGTTTGAAAAGTAATCACTTGATTAGACAACCAGAAAGTCAACAGTGACCCAACAAAAAGAACATTACGTGGACTAAATGAGTAAAAGTCATCTTGTGGTAGAGTGAGTAGAGACTGGAAGTAAAGAAGAAAAGAGAGTAAGTATACACTATTCTTTTAAGAAGTGTGATGTAGGAATAAGAGAAATAAGTCAGTAGCTAAGGGCTAGCAGAGTTACACAAGTTTTTGGACTGGGTGAGATGAGAGACATTTCAGTTTTCTTGTGAATATGGATATCCCTGCAAGTTTTAGATTAACACCCTAGTTTACAAAAAAAACTGTAAATTTATTTGCAAGTGTTTTAAATAAGTACTGTATGTGCACGGAACTTTTTCTAGGGAGGGAAGAATTTATTAGGCTTTTGAAAAAGAATTTCCAAATACTTACAACTATTTACATTGACAGTTTACACTAACCTAGAGAAAGTACCAAAGAGGAAAACAATAACATTAAAATCCTCTCAAGAAAATAGAAATGACTATTTCAAAGCACTGCTAAGAAAACACACTGAAACTCATTTTGGAACTAAAATAGTTTGTTCCTTTCCCAGAAAAGATACCTCACCCAAGAGAAAAAGATACTCAGGATCAGAAATTTGAGAATACTGTTTTATTTACTCTAATTTTTTTTTACATCTCATATTTTGTGCAAATGTTTTAAGAGTTTTAATTTACGTTGTTTTTTTTTAAATGGCACTGGGACTTGAACTCGGAACCTTGCATTTCCTAAGCAAGCCCTCTATCATTTGAGCCATATCCCTGGCCCTTTTTGCTTTAGGTTATTTTTCAGGTAGGGTCTCACACTTTTTGCCTGAGCTGGCCTGGGATTGCTATCCTCTACACCTCTCGTGTGGCTAAGACTGGCTTATTTGTTGAGATGGGGTTCTGACTAACTTTTTGCTCAGGCAGGCCTTGAACTGTACTCCCCCTAATCTCTGCCCCATGAGCCACTGCACCCAGCTAGGTTATATTTTTTAATGTGGATTTAAAAATTGTGCACACAACATAGAAAATTCATTCCAGTCAGCTTTTTATTATTTGATTTTTATAAATTATTTAGATACTTTTAGACTGAGCCTGGGTTAAAACTAAGAAAAAATGAACAAATACCAAAACCTAAGAAATAAATTGAAAGAGAAATTGCCAGGCAAGGTAATTTCCGAGTTGAATTGAACAGGGGAAAACAATGGCCACTAGATGGTGCAATTATTTTGCAAGACTTAAACTGAATCACCTAAGCACTCCAAGTTCTAAGGAAAATATGCAAAGAAATTAAACTTCTTGCCTCTATGAAAAAGTGGAATTTTTTGTGTGTTATTTGAGACTGTAGGATGATTTTGTGTGTGCATGCGTGTGGTTTTATATTTAGCTTTGTTCAGTGGAACTGTTTAGAACTTGCATATTTTCCAGATCTTTTAGCCCTCTGAGTCCTTCCTGCATGTGGCTAAATGGCATTTGGGTTGATGGTGGAGATGATGTGTGTGCCCTCATAGTCCTAAAACAAACACAACTCTAGCACTGCTAAGGAAAAATATAAAAGTGAAGTGCTACTAGAAAAACTCTATCCCCCAGATAACTAGCAGCACAAAAACACCAAATTTCTCTTCTAATACAGTAGGAGTCCCTACTGAGCGACAATGAGTACTCACTTGAATTAGGGGGCCAGGACTCCCGGGCCCCACCAGCTTGAGTTCTAGGTGACTTGCCTCGAACCTGAGAGCCACACAAAATCACAAGAGTTACAATCAGTGGTAGAACTTCATCAAGAAATTTGAATCATAAAGGAAACCTGAAATCTATACTTTTCTATCGCCTCTTCTACAATGTACAAAATTTAACATATTTATCTTAATAGTAGTCATGAACACTTATGAAAGGCTTTCTAATTTCCAATGCATTTTCTGTACATTTTCTCACCTGAGGCCAAACTCATTCTGGGGAAAACAGAGAGACATATACAGTAAAGAGACCCCTTGGGATCAGGAACCACAATTCCTTATGCACCTACAAAGCTGCTGAGAGCAGAGTTGCCATGAATTCTTTCCCTGGACTGTCATACCATGATGAACAGTCAGCTCCACTGAGAGAAAAACCAAAAGAAAAACCAACAGTAACCTTCAGCAGGGACTTATTCCTTTTACTGTTGCCTTTCTCTAAACTGAAATTCAAAAAACCAAGATTGCACAGGAACTTGTGTAAGCAAGACATCACAGAAGAACATTACCTTTCTTTCTTGTTTCTTCTGTGTCTCCATGATGTGCAGGCGCTCCATGAGGCTGGAGATACCCTGCTCCAAGCTGTCGATGGTGTGGTGCTGAGGATCGTGGCCACTGAAGCTGTTGCGCAGGCTGCGAAGGGCATCTCGGACAAGCTGCAGGTCACTGGTCTGCGGGCAAAAATGAAGTGCTGGTGGTATGGGCAGTGCAGTATTGCCAGCTACACCTCAACTACTGAGTTAACAAAGATAAAGGAGAGGGGTTCCCAGAAAAGTCATTTTTACTTCTGTGGAGGAAAATTTTCCTCCTCAAGAACAGCTCCATTGTTTTTCCTCTAATTCTGACTTTTGGATGGCTAGCAATCCATCTTTACATACCCATCAATTTCAAGAATTAAGGGACTGGAACATAAAAGGCTGAGTCCACTGTGGTGGCTGGGGCACTGTTCTGGTTTTAGCTAGAAGTAGCAGGCCTGTTCTCTAATGCTAGGAACATACCCCTCTGTGGGAGATGGAAGCAGCTCCTTTCCCTGCCACTGGAAGGAGAAAACCATTGCTTTGAGACTTGTGGCTGTTATAGGTGGTCACCTAGAGCAGTGAGAAGAAATGATGCTTGTGAAAAGGAGAATTCTGAACCAAGACTCCTGTCTTATTTTTCTTCTTTATTTATCACTTCCTGACACAGTATGTAATTATTTACTTGTCGAATGTCTCTATTAAAAGCTTCTTGAGTGAAGATATGTTTGTCCTTTTTGTTCACCGCTATATTGATGCTGCACTGGACACTTGGTAGGCATTGTGAAAGCAGAATGAATGAAAGGGAAACCTCAGCCTGGAGCTCTCAACTTCACCTCTACCATGGCCACTTGTCAGTCCCAGCACCTCCTTCATTTGCCTTAGTATTTAAAAACATAGTAACAATGACTAATGTATTGTGAGCCTGACTGTGCCAGGTAACTCTAACAGAATTGAACTTAGTCATTTACGTAGTTTAGTTATTCATGTGTATTATCTGATATATTCTTCCAGTTTCTAGCTGAACCTTATTTCTAAAGTTCAGGTGCTAAGTAAGCAACTTAAGGTTACATATGTAGACAATGTAAAGCTGGAATCTGAAACCAGATTTTCTTATCTAGGAACCTACACTCTTAAGCCCCTCACTGTATAGCCTCCGAACAAACCGGCCAGTGGCCTTGGTTCAGCTCTGGGTGAGAAACAGAATCTCCTTCTCTGCTCTGTAATGTGAGAGGAAAGAATCCAACTTCTAGGTTACCTCATCTGCCTCTCTTTTCATACAGTGGGCCAACAGTACATCTTTGTGTTCCAGCTCCCGTTCTAGGCCCACCTGCAAAACAGATTAAAACAGAAAAGGGTTTCTTCAGGCTTGGGAGCATGGTTCAAGTGATAGAGTGGCTGCCTAGCAAGTGCAAGGCCTTAAGTTCAAACCCCAGTACCACCAAAAAAAAAAAAAAAAAAAAAAGAAGAAAAGAAAAGGGTTTCTTTAGGGCAAAGGGGCAGGAAAGTCAGTAGCTGGCCAAGTTCCAACCTGCTGGTAACTAGCATCTGAGAGTTTCTGGAGTGCTTCTTCCAACTTGGCCTGGTGCTGCTGAAGGAGGCGATCCTTCTGCCCCAGCTCTTTCTGCAATAGAGACAGAGCTTTCAGAAGTGTGCCAAAACAAGAGATAATGAACAGTTCACCTTTTCAATGCAACGAACACTCATGGCCTTAGGGGAACAGGCTATATCTGGAAGACATTACATGCTCTAATAGTCTTATGTTATGCAAAGATTCTTGGAAGGGTAAAGATGAAAAGACTACCATTTATGGGACACCACTATGGGCCAGCCATGCTTGTCAAGAAAAGGTAAGCAGATCGCTGAAGTTTCCAGACTCTTAGTTCTATGCTCCTCTTCCTGGCTGTGCCATCTACTCATCAGGTCTAGTGAACCAAGGAACACAGAGAAAGATCTCCCTCTAGGAAGCCAGGATGAGAGTGGAATACTTAAGTGCTCTTTGGGAACAGCAACACCGCACTGCTCGTGAATGATCAGATGGAAGTCATTTCCAAGCCAGTATTCACTCTTACTTTGTACTCTCCTAAGAGTCGGTTCCTCTCTTCTAGCTTCCTCTGTAGATCCACCTGCAAGGATAAGGAAGAATTTACCAGTGTGAAGGTACTCTATACCAACCCTCATGAAAACCAGCTACTCGGTCACCAGAATTAATGTTAGAAGTTACACTATACAGCACAGAAAGGACATGGTTATAATACTAATTTAAAAAAAAAAGCACAGCTCCTCTCCACGTCCTTAGTAAGATAACCAGTTCACACAACTGCTACTTGGCCTCAGTGTCCTCAAAGTTCAAGAAGGTGTGGGCTTTTACCTAGGAACAAAGATGAGACTGATGGAAAATAAAAATAATTGCAGAGCAAGATGAGAGAGGTTAGGATGGCAGATCTAACAGCACCTTATGTAGTATCCCCTTTGGCTAGCAGGACTCAGTAAGGTCAGAGTTCACACATTTAACTCACATTCTGGTTATGCAGCTCATCTTTGTCCATATTTGCCCTCAGGAGTTCTTGTTTGAGCTGAAGAACAGATGTGTCCTGCTGAGTCAATCTCTGCTGCAAGGCATCCTGGGGGGGGGAAAGCAGAGTAATTATTGTGGACCCAATTAATCAATCAGCCAGAATTACTAACAGTTACTGAACCCTTCATTGTATATCTAGCATTAGTTCTGGCAAACTGGGAAGCAAAGGGAGTATAAGGATCTTGCCACAAGAAGTTGAGCAGGGCGTTTTCTGTCCTCTTTTAAGACACTAGCATCTAAAGGAAATTCCTATCCATTGTCCTACCAAGCTGAGTGAAACCTGATTTTTTCCCTCCACCTACTGCTCATTCTACCCTGCACATACTCTTGACAACATGGTGTCCCAGACACAGAATGAGTGGCTTTTAGAATCAGATGCCCTAGATTCAAATTAGAAGTCCAGCACTTCCTGCTTTCACAACACTGACCTTGGATAATGTACTCTCCCTCCTCCTATCATGGTTTTCTCATCCATATCTTGGGCCTATAAATACTCTGTCATCTGGCTTAGCTACTTCTGCTCCCATCTCTCTGCCCAGTCCCCATTTCCTAGAGGGGTGACCCTATCTGTGCTCACCACTCTGTTTTAAAGAATCCCACAAATCAGAGGTGTGGCTCAAGTGATAAGAATGCCTACTTTGCAAGTGTGAAGCCCTAAGTTCAAACACCAGTCCCATCCCTCTCCCCAAAAATGAGGGCAAAATTAAGAAATTAATAAAATTCAATGGACTTTATTTAAAAAATAAGAATCCCTGGAATCACTCCCACTCTGGCTTCCAGAGCTTGGCTGCTGTCCTGCTCCCATTAGCTTCCAGTGCCTCATCTGGACCAGGATGGGGATTGTGTTTCCACTGCTCAGAACTGCTCTCAGACTGATGGTTCCACTTCTCAATCTCCTAGGACCTTAACAGCTTTAGGCTATCTTTCCCTCAATTTAGACCCTCATGGTTCCTACCATGCTTAAGAAAAGGTAGGCTGGATATGTTGACTTGCAAGGGTCAGCTATTAACATATTGTTCTAACCATGGTGACTTCAAATGGAACTAATGGACTGGTGTTGCAGTCCAGTATACTTAGCTTGACTGACTTTCCTCTCTCTACAGACTGCAAGGAAATGGAGCAGGTGCTGGAGAATACAGGAGCCCATTCTTTTTCTTTTTCTTCTATTTTTTTTTTTTTGAGACAGGGTCTCACCATGTAGCCCAATCTGGCCTCAAACTTGTGATCCTCCTACCTCAGCCTTCTGAGTGCTAGAATTTGAGCTGTGCACCAACACACCCAGCTGTCTGCCAAAACAGTATGTGGCAAACGCTGTCTAAGAGGTCCCTGGCTTAGCAGTTTAGAGGACCATTTCCAAAGTGCACTCCAAGGGATGTTAATGAGCGACATAGGAGAAAAGGTGCTTCTGTGGTTTATAATTCTAAACTTTTTTAGGCAAACTCTTCATGACAGACCTTCTCAGATCTTTTAATACACTATAATTCACTGTGAAATCGTCAAACCTATAGGCATTTCTCAAACTTATTTTGACCATGGAACACATTTGGTTTTTTGAAGTACTTCAAAGCAGTAAAGACAGAATATATGTTGGAAAATGCTGTTGAGTTACACTCTAAGTTAGTCTGTGAATGGGTGTACAGGGAAAAGGGGAATAGCAGTAGCTTAAGAAGAATATTTAGCCCATATAATCCCACTTGGGTGAAGTAACATGTATTCAAGGATATTAGCTAGATCACTGTTTGTACTGGCAAAAAATTGGAAATAACCTAAAATATCATCAATGGGAGAATGATTACATACATTATAATATACATATACTAGAATAACATGCAACTATAAAGAAGTCCAAGAAACGTCTTCTTAACTGAAATAGAATGATCAAAATACATTGCTAAGTGAAAAAAGCAAGGTGTCAAGTTGTATTTATAGTTACTATCATTTGGGTAAAAATGTGGGGAAAAGATATACATACACATATCTTGATAACTAGTAAGTTGCTCCCAGGAAAGAGAACTGAACAACAGAGGGTGGGGCAGAACTGGCTCACAGTCTATCCTTTTGTGCCTCTAAAACTTCTGAATGTCATTAACTGTTCCAAGACTAAGTAAGTCACATTTTTTTGAAAAGAGGACATTCTTAGTACTTTACACATAAGAGACAATGGAGGTGACAGAGGGAAGTGGCAGCATCATGCGTCACAGCTACCAGACATAAATCTCAGCAAAACAAAGCTATATTCCTCAACATGGCTCACTTCCCACTACAAAGCCCTTTTTTACTGAGCCTGTTAACAACCCCCAGCAAAACCCAACAATCTTCACCCTCACCAATAGACTACTTTACCTTACAGGGACTTTATTTATAGAACTGAATGTCTTCCTTTTTACCTTTATCCCCTGTAAATTTCTGGCTTCTTGTTTACATTTCAGCAGCTCTTTCTGCAAACCAAATATAGTTAGGTCAGATGGAGGCATCTGGGTTGCTTCAGAAGCATTGCCTCATTCTGTCCACAAGAAGACAAAACCCAGTTGACCATTCCATGAAAGATTAATCCTCTATGCAGGCAGGAAGCAGATGCAGTTCAGTCAGCAGTAAAGACTGACCCACAGAAACAAGAACAGGACCTATTCCATTCTTCTCTGCAACATCCCTACTGAACTACCCAGGTAGAGAAGTGTCTTGCCAAGAAAGAAGACACCCCATATATTCCCTTAGGCTCCCTACATTTAGTAATCTTCATTCACAGGGAAACCTAACCACTATACTCTAAATCCCTCCCACTGACTTGTATGATCACATGTCTATCCCAAAGTCACTAAAGAATTATTTCTGCTTTTAATGTTCGGCAGAGGGTTGGAGTTCTTTAAGTCTCCAATGGGCTATATTGTTCTAAGTGTACCAAACAAAAACACACTTAGTCAAATAATGAAAAACCAGGTGATTAACCTTCCATTTCAATAGATTAAATACATGCATAGGACTGCCACTAAAAGAGACTTTAGAAGGAACACATTCTCTCCTACTGCATCATGTAACATCTTATAATTAGCATATCTAAAACAGGATTTTTAACCTGGACTGTGCGGATGGGCTCAAAAGTTACTTTGCTATTTTCTGGGGTGTTTTTTTAACCTTATTATTTTTTAAATGGTATATGGTGGATGTCTCTATAATTTTGTTGAGATGACTGCAGAACCTGGAAAAGCTGTTACTGCTACTGATATATAACATACTGTTATTACTGGTCTTTTTATCTAAGTTTATATATGTCTCTCTCTCTCTCTCTCTCTCTCTCTATATATATATATATATATATATATATCATTCTACACAAATACATACATAGACATATATAATTTAAATTTTTGGAAACTTTAGCTGTGCTGTCAACTTAGGAAAAATGTCCCCCAGGTTATCATTTTGAGTTGGCACTATTCAGAAATTAGCAGCCAAATTAAACTTAATTTTTTCTATTTGTACAGGGTTAATGCACCACATTAAATATGTAAGAGATTATCAATGTGGATTTAATTATGGAAATTAATAAAACAGTCTCTAAATAAAAGTTTGGGTCTGTGAGTATGCACATACACATATTTTCTAGGGAGAGGATTAATGACTTCAGCTATATACCTATGACTCAAAATAATTTTTAAAAATTAAAAACACTGCACAAACTCCTGAGTTCAAACTCCAGTCCTACCAAAAAAAAAAAAATTAAAAACACTAACCTAAAAGAATTCTGGGAACTATTCATAAAAAAACACCACACTGATGCTAGATCCATTTTTTTTTTAGTTAACAAAGAAAAAGTAGAAATATTTCAAACATATAAAAATGTACAACCAATAATGCCATAGACACCTATTACCCACCACCAAGATTAAAAAGGTGCTACCTTTTTCTGATACATTTTGAATGCATTTCTCTTTCAATTAAAGACATCATTCAGATACAGCTAATGTCCCAATGCTAAATCTTTTCCCTCCCCCAGAACTGTCCTGAAGCTGGTGCCTAACATTTCCATAATTTTTTTCAAAGGGCAAAATATGCATGTCTTGACATACCTTTAGGTCCTGATTCTCCTCCACACTCTGATCTAAGCGGCTCTGGATTATAATCTGAACATAGGACAAAAAGTGATGGTTACGTACCTAAACTGTAAAGCTCATGGGCCATTCATTCAACAAATGTCTGCTGTGCGTCTATGAGTGCCATCTCTACAGTGTGGAAGTAAAGACCAGGAAACAGCTCCTCCCTCTAATGACGCAGACACCCAACATGCAACAAGTAAAATTAAAGCTCAGGTGTGTGGGGAGCAGAAGATGGAGTACAAAGAAGGAGAAATGGCAAGAATGAAGCTAAAAAGGAAAATAAGGGCCAGGTTATGAAGAGCCAGTGAAAATAAAGGAGAAACTGGTGGGAAATTTTATGCAAGGTGATAACAAATTGAAATTTTGCCTTTAAGGCAAATTATTATTTCTGTTTTATAGAAAATGGATTAGAGGATGATAAAAGAGGAATCAAGAACCAGGAAAACCAGTTCAAAGGCAGCTAGAATTCAGAATGAAAGCCTGAATTAAATAGTGGCTCTGAGAATGAAAAAAAGTACATATAAAGGGGAGTATCAGAAAGGATTCAGGATGATACTCAGATTTTTGTTTGGGGCATTTTGGTAAATGTAAAAAGACATTTAGTTTCAGTGGTGGGTAGAGGACAGAAAAACTTTAATTTAGGACTCATTGAAATTGAGATATTTATAGGACATATAAATGGAAATGGTCAGCGGGCCATTGTATGTTGCATACACAGAGAAATCTTAGCTGGACACTCATATTCAAAGGATGATAACACTGCCCATTCTGTCTAAGACAGAGTGAAACGCTGAGGAGCACCAACATTTAAGACACAGGCAGGGGCTGGCAGAGTGGTTCAAGTGGTAAAGCACCTGCCTAGCAAGTGTATGACCCTGAGTTCAAACCCCAGTGCCACTAGGAAAAAAAAAGGCACAGGCAGAAAAAGGAAAAAGAGAAGCTTCAAAGTGAACCTGAATATAAACTATAAACTCAATGAGGGTAACTCTTAGATCAGTTTTATCGTTACTGTACCTCTAGCACCTTGAAACAGTATCTGACACAGAGTGAACACTCAGTAAATACTTGTTGATTGGATAAATGAAGAAATCGAGAAAGAGTAATCAAAAATGTGGAGTAAAACTCAGGAAGAGTTGGAGTCAGGAAAGAGCATTTCAAGAAGGCGTGGCAAATAGAATCATATGCTAAAGAGAAGTCAAATGTACCAGTTGTAAAAGTTGGAGCTCACCAGTTGTTCCTCGGGATGGGACTCCTGGTTCACAGAGGGCCAAGGGCCTCTCCTGTTCATCTTCAGGTAAGGATCCATTGAGCAGTAAGGCCTAAATAACCACAAAGACAGCAAGAAAGTTTAACTTCCCACCAGATGACTTAATCCAGAGTCAGGCTTGGTATGTTGACCCCAAATTGAAATCACCACCCAGTTTCCTCTAGAAATCTCCTTGGTAATTTTTGCTTCCTTGGAACTTCCAATGGCTCCTCTGAGGTCTAGCTCCTTTTTTCAGGCTCATGCTGCGGGCCTCCTTCATCTCTCTGCACACAACATGATCCCCCTGTTCCAAGTCTTCTTGGTCCCAGAAAAAAATACAAAAGCAAATCTTCCCTTTAGAAGTGACAGAATACATTTCAAACTCGAGCTGCTCAAACTCTTTTACTAGCTGGAAAGGGTACTAAAAGCAGTGCAAAAAAGTGTACTAGAATGAAATCCATTGAAAGTACTGAATTGTGATTGTTTGATTTTTGTTTGTTTGTTTTAGTAATTCTGCATTTTTACTCCCTAAAACAAACTGGATAGAAGAAGAAAAACACCAGTGCTGAGATGTCCTCATTCATTTTGCCTTCAGTCTTTTTTTTGATAGAATGTTAGTAAGTAGAAATAAGAGGCAGATTTACCCCAAAGCTAAGAAAGCATCCAGCTTTAGGCCCATGTGCACTGCCTCTCTCAAGGCACAGGCCAGGTGCCAGTGGCTCATGCCTGTAATCCTAGCTATTCAAGAAGCAGAGATCAAGAGGATCATGGTTCAAAGCCAGCCCAGGCAAATAATCCACGAGACCCTATCTCAAAAAACCTCTCACAAATATAGGGCTGGTGGAGTGGCTCAAGGTGAAGGCCATGAGTTCAAACCCCAGTACCACCAAAAAAAAAAAAAAAAAAAAAAAAAAGACCCCATACCTAATATTTATTCCTTATTCATACTGTCTTATTCATAAAGAACCCCCACCCCCATTATAACTGTAGGATTCCTGCAGGTGTTATAAGACCTAGCAGTTCAGTGTCCCTATTTTATATCATTGTCTGTCTCAATTCAAAAGAGAAGAGTTAAATCAGAGGTGAAATCTTATTTCAATAAATATAACACAAATTCGTCATAAAAAGAATGTTCTAAAATCCAGTCAATCATTGGTCTGCTAAACACTAATAATAAATTTTAGTAAATCAAATTATTTGGTTATCCCATTGGAGTCAAGGCAAGAGGTAAAGGCATATCTAAGAAGTTACAGAGCTGCTGGGAGCTAAAGGAGAGCAGTGTTACAGACACAGTGACTAATAGCAGATTGTTCAGCAGGCTCTAACTAAGGCATCATAAGTCAGACATCCTGGATGTGGCTTGGCATGCAACTTGTTCATCAGTGAAAGAGTTAAGAAGCCCTGTGGATGCTGTGAGTCCTTTTGTATTCTACAATGGAACTGAATTCTCATTGTGGTCATGTGGCTGGGAATTAAAACTCCTCTGTTTGCAGGGAATATTAAGATGCTGACTTTCTGCCTGTCAATTTTCTTCTTTTTCTGTTTCATTTGCCATGGAATTTCTCCCAGTGAAAGAAATTCAAACCAAACTGAGAGCCAAACCGATGGATATCCAGGTTCACATAATACAAATTATCCTGGGAAAAACTGGTTAGGTATAATTCCAAAATTCACCCTGGAATACCTCCTGATAAAGCACATGAGAAAAAAAAAATCATTAAGATATCCCTTAATGGAGTGGCAGAAAAGGGATCTAAAAGCCTCACAAGCCAGACATTTTTTAAATACTGAGCAAATGGGGGAAAACAACAACTTTCTTTGGGAATGTTTAGATAGCAAACGTTCCTCCAACCCTTCTCAGTTCCTGGGGCATACATTATGCAAATTGTTTTACCACCAATCTCCCTTTTTTCCTTTGGGAACCTTTTGTGTCCCCACCCTGTTGCTGGCTGGCTGGGAGCATGCCCTGCATTGCCTGCTGGCTGCCAGAGCCACACACATAATGTGGGCTTTGTTTACGTGTCCATAAATATTTCACAATTCAGAAGCAGTGCAGTTCCCAGCACAAACAGAAAGGAATATTCCTAGGCAATTTCAGGGTCATCAGCACACGACAAGGGCTCCCCCCAAACAGAGACGGTAGCACAAAGATACAGGATTGAGGGGTCATTCGGGGTGGGCACTATGTCAAGTGGGTCAGATGGTCTCTGGGGGAAATTAGCCAAGCTGACACTGCAGGTAGAGGAAAAACTGAGGGCTTTGTTGCTCAAGGAAAACCTCCTCTACCTGATCATTATGTCTTGGCATTCACCTGCAAATGCATCAGGAGTGGGCCAAATCCCTTAGCTGGACTCAAATGGAAACCTGGCGGCATTACTGACTCTTCCACCTTTCCAGCTGCAGAATTCCTGGGAGAAAATTCCTAACTATTCATTAAGCTATTCTTCACTGAAAGCTGCAATTGTAAGTCTGTAGCCCCATAAAAGAGAGAAACCCACCTGTGAAGCAGAGTGGGAATAAGGGCTTGATAGGGGTGGTAATCGCTCTGGAGCTTGCAGAATTCCTAACATCTGTACCATAAACAACAGTCCACAAGGTCTATTTAAAGCAGTCACATGTAATGACTTTTTACTCTCTGTGTACTCTATCTAAACTCCCACTCGACTTTAACCTCATAAACAACTAAAATCAGGTTTTTTCAATTGATACTAGTGAGTTAAAAATGATAATTGGTGCGCAAGGACAAACTACAAGTGAAAGAGTACCTGTAGTCCTGATATCATTTTCTTAGCTTCCTCCATTTCTTTTTCTAAATGTTCTTGTTGTTCCAACAGCTGTTCTTCCCATGAGGTTTCCAGATAGGTTCCAGGGCTCCCTGGCTGCCAGTCTCGGGATAATGGAGAGTCTGTCTCCTCTACAAAATCAAAGGAAGGATTACAGTCCATGTTGAAGAAAACTGATTTCCGGCAGTTCTGGCAGAAAGCGTAACAGAGTACTTCACAGGTTCAGGTCACCTGCCTTCTGAACCTGTCCTCACAGACAAACCAGACTCTCCACCAGGTGGGGTTGTGAGGCATAAAGAACTAGCTGTTAACCCCAGCTCCAAGTTCAGGGAGGCACCACTCACTCTCAGGGAAATCCACCTCTTAACCCTTAGGAAGGAGCAGGCATCTGGCTATCTATTGGAGTCTTGACATGGGACAAATAGATTCTACTCTTAATTCCCTAGAACTGGCATTCCCAGAGCCTGATTTTCCCAGGTACAAAGGAAGGGACTGTTAAAAGCAATAATTCCTGCTGTTACTCTGGAACTTTAGATGGAAGGCCAGGATTCAATATTACTTTGACTCCACTGGGTATAACTGAACCCCTTGCACATATAAGGGTGTGAGTCATACAGGAAACAAACTAGTAAAGCATACTCACAAAACTATTTAATATTGTTCCCTAGTTTTGTTTTATTTCCTTTTTTTTTTTTTTTCTTTTTTTGGCAGTACTGGGGCTTGAACTCAGGGCTTCATGCTTACTGTGCAGGTGCTCTACCACTTGAGCCACTCCATCAGCCCCTTTTTGTAATGGGATTTTTTGAGATAGGGTCTCACAAACTATTTGTCCAGGCTGGCTTCAAACCATGATCCTCCTGATCTCTGCCTCCTGAGTAGCTGGGATTACAGGCGTGAGCCAACAGTGCCCAACTATTTCCCTACTATCAAAACCTCTGGTGTCCTTGTCCATTTTATCCTAATGCATTTAAAATGCAATATGGACTAGCAAAGGATATGAACGCTGAGTAAGGGTCTTTTATTCAGAAGAGGAATATAATAATTCTTCTGGATTGTGGTGAAGATTAAAAGAAGTAACTTATATGCAGGGCCTGGTAGTAACTGACCCAGGGCAAGCACTAAATAAATATTCTCTCTCTTTCCCAAGGTCCTAGGAATTTCTGACTCAGTAGCACAACTGACTCTTTGGTACCAACACCAGGGCTGAGGGGAAGCAGTTAGGAAGAACTGAATGCCAGTTTTTCTTCTGATGGCTCCAATTTCACAACAACCCTTATGGATGAATAAATTCAATCTAATTCTTGTGTTTTGCTTCTTCCATGCTTCTCTTTTTGTTTAGGTAAGAAAAAGAGAGAGAGAGAGAAATGAGACAGACTGAAGAGAAGTCTAAACAAAGGGAACTCTTTGTGGTATTTTCTGTAGCTCTCATACCAACCCTGATGTAGCCCTGCTCTGAATTGCATGTTCTTACAGATACCTCAGTCTATACCATATATTCCTGGCTCCAGGGAATACAAATTAAATTAGAGAAGTGCCAAAATTATAAGACAGGAATAATAGAAACTATTTGAGTAAGGCTTCTGACTTTCCCAATGTCATTTCCTAATTCATAGGCAGGCAACCAGCTAAGAAAGGGCCTGTCAATGCTGCTGCAAGATTTTTTTTTTTCTTTTTTGGCAGCACTGGGGTTTGAACTCAGGGCCTTGAGCTTGCTAGGCCGGCACTCTTACCATTTGAGCCAGTTGCTGCAAGATTCTTGGCAGCTGGGACACAAGGAAGAACAATGCTCAAAGGCATTGTAGCTGACACCCCTGGATGCGCAGACCATGGAGAGGAAAAAAGGTCAGAGACCTTAGAGGTCCAGTCAGGACCTCCAAACTCTTCAAGCTGGGGAATCTTTCTTTGAGCCAACCCAAGCAGGCAGACAGGCAGACAGACAGTACCTGTTCTGTTCTCTATTCCTTCAGAGGGAATAATCACAAAATCTGCCTTTTCCTCTGACTGAGTTATGATGGATTCACTCTTTGCACTGTGGATTGGACTGGGTGAAGTCAGACTGTGATCAAAGAAAAAGGAAAAGAAACAATCATTACAAACAGTTGTGTAGAGGCCAGTTTTGATCATTTGTCCCAGAGACATGTTCTTATTCATCTTACTCCGAGTGCTCAACACAGTACCTCGTCCACAGTAAAAACAGTATTTATTGAATGATGAACTTGTTGAATGAATGTTGACTGAAGGAATAACCCAGTCCTAGGAAGTCTTTTCCACAAAAAGGCTGCCTTTAAACATAATTGACTGAGAAGAGAATTATCAGGATAGGCAATCTAACATTTAAAAACCTATGTTTTTTGTTTTTTCTTTTTACCTCCATCCCTAGGCCCATGTTCAGAGACTGATGTCAGTATGTATCTCAGTAGCTTTTGGAGCTGGAAGGAGATTATATTTCCAACACAATGATCTCTCTTACAAGCAACACCAGCACAGTGATCACAGATCAGCTTACACTGATCCCAAAGAAGGGGACTATGTAAGGGTGACTTGGGGTAGAAATTGCTGGAGTGTATACAGTGCTAGGCCAGGCAGAAGAGCACTGATTTATCAACAACTGAGCCAGAACATGGTAAGAAGTGTAATAGGTTAAAAGGGGAAAGACCTATTGTGGTGGTTAAGGTTTACTTGCTTTACTCACATCAAATATTTACACCTCTGCCACAAGTGTTTTTCAAATTGTCATCAGAAACCTCTTCAAAAGCCTCATGTTCTGATGTAACTACCAGCCTTGGGAGGAATGTTCAGATTTGCAGGGAAGCAGATGTTATGTCTCCAGAACAACAGCAAATGGACAAGATGGGAACGTGGGGCTGATGCATCCATCCGGTAGGGATAAAGAAGTCTGAACAGCCATTTCTCTGCACCACAACTGAAGAACATCAGCCCCGAAACACTCTCAGGGGCTCTGGGGTCTACAAGCTCAGCCCCCTCTTAGGAATTCTTTCCAAATCCATCACCCAGACAACAGCAAAAGTGTCTAGGATTCACTGACCCACTTAATGTGCCCCTGAAGTCTCCCAAGCTAATCCTCATAACAACCATCAGGAGTAAACTTTCATCTTTCTAGAAACCAGAAAAAAGCAAGAGCCAAGCACAGTGAAAATAAGCCAGAGGTTTCGAAACCTGTGAAGCAATCTGAGGACTGGTGCCTCTCCCACATATATCCACAGGTGAAGAGCTTTGGTTGAGTACTGTGTTCTCTTCCTACTTAGAAATGCAGGAAAACATTTAAAGTGTGTGCTACTTTGAATTAAAGAAAATTGCTTTACCATGTCTATAGATCAACTCAGACAAAAGGATGAGGGCTGGTAAGAAGTGGTACTCAGAAATGGTGAGTGCTTTCTACAACTTTCTTGTCCATTTTTCACCACTGACTTCCAAGTCATCATAAATTAGCTGCTGGAAAAGCTCTCCTCTAATGGTTTTATGTCATTTATAAGGAGCACAGATTTAGGACTGCTTGGGCCTCAGCAGTTTACTTCTTACAGAAATGGGGATCCAGGTGCAGGAAGAACCCTACAACAGCTGCACCTCTTTGCAGAATAAGACAACACCACTTTCTCAGCTGAGAAGGTGCTATGGGTGACATGTTCCACTGCTTGCACTTGGCTGGACCACAGGAGGTATGTGCGAGACAAAGGGGAGGGGGAGGGTTTAGTGTGAACCTAGGATGGATTGGAAAACTGCTTTCCTAAAAGCACAGACGCATGCTCAGCCCCACCTCTTATGTCTTCAGAGTAGGCTCCCATATAAGGGCGGAAGGAGGCGGATATCTGCATACCCAACCCCACTGGGGGCGTGGCAGAGCAGCCAGAAGGAAAACAACATTTTTCTTTCTTGAATTGAGGCTGCCGGGTGAGGCTGCCACAGAGATAAGACCAGGAAACTAATGACAAGTCAACAGATCAAAGACCCAGGACGGACAGAATCCTGAGGCTCATACCAGAGCAGGCGTCACGCCGCCCCCGCCCCAAGAACCTCTATGGATGGGGAAAGTGCATGAAATTCTCGGCATAGGGTTAGAAAAAGTATCTTAATACTAATCAAGTACAAGACTTAGGCTACTCCTCGATTAGCTTAAAGTCCTGTTTCGTAAACAAATAATCCCTTACCTACCATCCTAATCCTCTGAGCTCAGAAAACCCAGTTGTTACAAATCATTGATACATTTCATAATTCCCACAGGTCTAATTTCTCTCTAATCTTAATTTATCAGACAAACAATCCACCAGCAAAGAAACTTCCAAATTAGACTCATATCAATTTTTAAGAATGGGTAACAGACGACAAAAAAGAGTCCTGCTCTCCCCACTCCCCAGCCCCCACCCCCCACGAAGTGCAAAGACAACAGGGTGGAAAGGGCCATTCCTATTCTCTATAACTGGCTCCAAATTCCTAAAACCACCGTATTTTATAGTGATAATCCCAGGGTAGCAGCCTGATCTCCCCAATATAGCGCCCCCATTCGTCCCCAGTCCCCAGCTGCCTCTGACCCACAACATCCTCCAGTCCTGGCCCTGCTCCCACCCGTGCCCCGATCTAGAGCCAAAGTGGCTTCAGCTCACCATTTGACTTGCGTCCCGCCCATGGTCCCCCTCCAGGCTCCAGCTTCAGCAAGCCTGCTTCCCTGGGTGAAGTGGGAGACTGAGAGTCACATCACTCCCAAATTCGGCCACATCCCCCCCGTGCTGGGCCCAAAGAATGACTTCAGGAACAAGGCAGCCAGCAGAGCGGCCGGATCACCGGAGAAAGTGGGAAGAACAGAGGCAGGCGTTCCGGCTGCAGATCTCGGGATGCTCCGGGTGTGAAGCACGCTGTCCCGGGGGCTCAGACCCTGCAGCAGCCCGGCCTCTGCCGAAGCCGCCTCCCCTCGCAGGCAGCGGGTCGCCCGCAGCTGCATGTCAGCGTCCGCGATCGCTGCATCCCCCAAGACCGAGGCATCTCAACCCATCTCCCACCCCAGAGGCTCCGGCTGCGTGTCAAGCACCCGGCGAGCGAGCAAGCGATCCTACTGCAAGCTGCCTCCCCAATCCCGCCCTCTCGCCCCCTCCCTCCCCACCCTTCCCAGGCTGTCACACGCCGTCAGCCAGCACAGGCTGGGACCGGGTCCCACCGCGGCTCTGTGCAGAGGTAGCAGACAGACAGGGCACACGGGCGGGCGGGGGACCCGGAGCCCCAGGATGGGCGGGGGAGGGGCGGCGCGTTGGAGGAATCCCGCAGGGCTCTGGTGGTCCCTGCATGAGCGCACCGCACCGCACCGCAGCCGCTCCACTCGCCTCGGTGGTCGCGCGGGGCTGCACCAGGGCTCTCCTGGCCAGTGCGGGAGCGGGTGCGGAAAGCCCGCAGGGGAGACCCGCCGTGAGCACTCCCCCTCCTCCTAACCCTCCCGGGTTTCCAGTGTCCTTTTTTCCCAACTAAGGATCATTTTGCTTGGATAGTTGAGAGGTTGGCCCGAGGTCTACGGAGCAACAGGCGGGCAGAGAGCCTCGCCAGGGCGACCCTGTAGCAGCAGGGGAAGGCAGTGAGGCACCAGGGTTATCTTTCTTATTTTCTGAGTCACTCCCTATGCTGAACTGCTACATCCCGGGGTTCCTGACCCCTTCTGGGGTCATAGGGCCATCAGGTGGGCTCCCAGAGTGGGGGATGGGCGTGGCAGTGCCAGAGCCTGTTGGGTCCCTGGCAGCTGTGAGAAGGCTTCTCCTTCCTGAGGGCTCAATGACTAACAGGCAGAGTGCTGACTGAGCATCCCAAAGACCGGCATGAGAAAACTGAAAAATCAGGGAAGAAAACAGAAAGGGGAATGCAAACTATTTTCCTCTGACCCCTCTCTTAGAAAACTGTCACCATTAGCCCTTTGCAGCATGATTTCCAGTGGGTACCTCATTCACAGGCTCACAGCTCCAGCCCCAGTCTGAGTTCTCCTGCCTGGGGGAAGGAAGCAGGTGCCTGTAGGAGACCCAGGCTCTTTTCCTTCCCTCTCCCCCTAAATCAGGCAAGCACAAGTTCAGGAGAGTGGAAGGCCTGCAGAAACATCTTTTGATTCTGTACCAAGTGCTAGTCCAATCAGCAAGCAAGAAAGCAATGGTTTAGAGCCTCATTAAAAACACACTGTTGCTTAATGGGCACCAGTTTCCTTTTGGGCTGATAAAGATGTCTTCCAACTGGATGTTTGCACAACATTATGAAGGAACTAAATGACACTGAACTGTACACTTTAAGATGGGTAATGGTTACCAGGATATTAAAATGCCGGAAAGAGTTCCATAAGATCTCAGTAAATTAGGAAATGTTTGTCAAAATAGAATGGAATAGTATAAGGAAAAGAAATACGAGGAAGGAAACAAAGACACATAAAATGAGAAACAGCTAGACTGATCTAGAACAGACTATGTTGGATTGGAACAGGAGAGAAACAATCACCAGAGCATAAATAAATTATGATTCAGCAACCAAATGAAGTTAGTAAATAAGCCAATGTGATCTGGGATATGTTTATGGGAGCATGATGTACATGAGCCAGGGAAGTCATTTTTTTCTGCCATTATACTTGGCATTGGTCAGGCTTTTATTAGAGCAGAGTGTCCTGTTCTGGTTTCTGCACTTGGCTTGAAAGGAGATAGACAGCCTCTCAGCTACAGTCATAAACATCATTAGCCCACTCAAATGCATACTCATCTGCCACAATTCCCAGCCCTATAAATGAACATGGAAACATTAACGCTTTAGACAACTCTCCACAATTTTCCTCTCATGCTGTGAGCTCTGTACAGACCACAATACACTCAGACTCCAGGACAGTGCAATGCCACAGGCAGCTGATACACACAAATGTCAGCCATTAGGTTGTGCTCTGATAGGGCTCTGTCATGCCCCCATGTGGTCACAGCTAAGCATTGGCACAGGGCTCTGCACAGTTCACCCCACCCCCACATACCAGTCAGGGCTGACAGCTAGCTCTTTAATACCAAACACAAACTGAGGGGGTTGGGGGAAGGGTGAAGTTACGGCTTGGCATGTGTTAGGTAAACAAGCTACTCCCCAGCCTTATTGATGCTGTATTGCTACTTGCAGCTAAGAACCCCGAGAATCCCCAAGAATTCAGCTTTCAGCCAAGATGGTAGTGGTAAAGGATCCAAGGCCACAATTACCTGGAACAGCTGGACTCAGATGGGGACCTTTGCTGCCCTTCATACTGCTGCACCAGCGCCCGCACGCTCCAGTATGGATTCTCAATCTCCTCATCCATGCTGCTGTTCCTATAGCCAGAGGCACCAGCAAAGGAGAGGGTGTTAGTCCTACTGCTCAGGTCAACTCTGCAAGCACTGACACCCTACCACTCTGTGAGCACTACCAGTAAGAAGAAGAACAATGCAAAACCCTCACAGAGGACCCTTAACATCTGGTAGGGAAGGGAGGCAGAAAAACAAGTAACTTCACCAATCTGCAATAGCATTGCAGCTACACAATCTCCCTCAGCTGCTACACAATCCCCAAAGTACTTCCTGCCTGGACTCTCCAGGACAGCTCAGCCTTCTGGATACATCCAGGATAGCGCCATCCCCAGGTGGACTAGAGCATTGCACCTACATATCTCCCAGTGAATTAAACACACTGCCAAAGGCATATAATTTAAAATCTTGCCACCAGAGCAAAAATTTACCCTCGTGGTTCCTTTACAGTCTGCTAACTGAAAAATAAACATTTCAAAAGAGCTTTTCTCTTTTGAAATGCCCACCCCAGCCTCCAGTCCATGTTCTTTTCTGCAGTGTGGGACTGTTCAGGTGATATTTCCATCTACCACACTGTATAATCTAACAGAAGAAACACCAGAGAGAGGGATCAGGTCCCATCCCCGGATTGCTATCCTTACCTCTGTCTGTATCGGAAGACATCCCGTCCTGACCGTGACATGTCATGGCACACATCAGCCAGAGCAGCAGCTGCTCCCTGGGCCACAGCAGTGGCACAGTGTGGTTGGTGACTCTGCAGAGGGGCTCTGCAGTCCCGTCCTTGGCTCACTGTCCTGCTAGAGCCGGGTTTGAAATGAGCTGCCAAGGCAAGGACCAGCCTCATGATGGACTTCAGGTTTCCTTCCACAATATCTAAAGGACAAAGCAGAACAAGATGTCCTCAGAGGGTGCCAGAGGCTGCACACTTATACTCTGTAAGGCAGTCATGGTCTCTGTCCTCACAAAGCCATGTTCAACAAGGAAAACAGGCTTAAAAGCAATAGTGATAAAGTATGATAATGTGTTTTGATAAATGGAATACTGGAGTCCTTGGATGCTCAGAGTACAGGTATCTTAAGGGCTCAGGGATGTGTTCCTAGAGGACAAATGAGGCTGATTGATGAATAGTGCTTCATGAGATAAGAGAGAATGGTAAAGAATAATAGGGAAGAAGGAGCAGTAGGTGAGAAGGGCTGAATGTGAATGAGAACAACAGATGACAGCTGCACTGTCTGATGTTGGAGCCACAAACCACATGTGGCTACTGAGCACTTAATGTCAGTACTCTGAACTGAAATTGTGCTGTAAGTGTAAGACTACTGTACAAGTGTTAAGTACTTAGCATACACACAAAGGAATGCAAAATATTGCATTAGATTTAGTATTAAAGTAGAATGCAAAATACCTCAGTAACTTTTTTATATTGATTTTATGGTAAAATAATATTGTGGATATATTGGGTTAGATAAATATATTATTAAAATTAATTTCACTGGATCTTTTTTATAATGTTGCTATTGAAACACTGTGGTGAAAAAAGTGAAAGGAATTTAGCATTAAAAAAAAAAAAGGACCAGGCCTGGTGATTCTTCCAGCTACTTGAGAGGCAGAGGAAGGAGTACCGAGTCTGAGACCAACACAGGCAAAAGCATGAGACTCTATCTAAAAACCAACTAAAGCAAAAAAGAGCTGGAGTGTGCCTCAAGTGGGAGAGGACCTGCCTAGCATATGCAAGGCCCTGAGTTTCACTAATCCTCAGTTCCAAAAAAAAAACAACTCTGCATAGCTAGAGCATGGGGCCCAAGGGGAGAAAGAAAAGGTGATAGGTGATAGATACAGCGGGAAGAATCAGAGGTTGCGTCTTATGGGACAGGGTAGGCCATAGGAAGGACTCTGGATTTTAGCCTAATGTCCTTCAGGTGCAGAGGAGTAGCACAGGTACTGTAGGTACCCTTAGGTCATTCTGCCTGCAGTGTGGAAAGCAGAAGGGAGTGGGACAAAAATGGATGTAGCAGGACTAATTAGGAAACTGTTGTGTCTCTCTGGGTAAAATACAATGATGCCTTGAATGACAGTGTACCCTCAAAACAGCCCACTTTACTGGGCCAGATCCCCAAGCCCACTCCACATAGAGTACTTTGTCACTCTAAATTCTGCACTAGAGAAGAAAAAAAAGGAAAGCAGACAAAAAAATACCCCAGCATGATAAGAGATCTGGTGAAATCTATCATGCATAGATTAACAAAGAAATGGATAAAATGGAAAGAATGCAAAGAAATGGATAAAATTCTATTTGTTTGGCTTCATAGCCATTCAAATGGGAAAAGGATTGTTTGATACCTCCCACCAGATCTCTCAATGGTTAGTGTTTGCCTATCTGAACGATCCCAACACAGAGAACCCTAAGAATCCAGCCTGAAAGGAAGACTCCCTTTTGCCCCCTTTCTTACCAGACTCACGGGCAATAAAAACCCAGAAACTGACACTGAAACAGAAGGAGGTCCTGGGGGCTGTGATTTCTCTGGACACCTGCACTGCTCCTTCCTCACAGCCTGGGAAACCCACCTAAGTCGTGCACTGCAGAAGTCCCCTTTCTCCTGCTGGGATATTCTGACAGCCAAAAAAGAAATGCTATAAATTATTTCCCTTCTAGAAACTGGATGGAAAGAGCACAGGTTATGATGATTTGTATTGCCAAGGAATTTGAAACATGTAATTTGTCTTTATTTTTGATAATTTAAATGAGATATTCTAGAATTAATTTTGTCTTTTATTCCCTTACCATTAATTTTCCTTCACAAACTCAAGCAAACCTGTATTCAATTAAAATGAATACAGGCTGACTGTGGTGGCTCACACCTGCAATCTCAGCTACTTGGGAGGAAGAGATCAAAAGAATTGAGGTTTTAGGCCAGTCTGGGCAAAAATATGAGAACCTACCCCAAAAATAACTAAAGCAAAAAGGCACTAGTGGTGTGGCTCAAATGGCAGAGAGCCTGCCTAGCAAGTATGAGGCCCTGAATTCAGTCCCTAGTACCTCAAAAAATAAATAAATAAAATGAACACAGAACTTTTATCTCCACTCAAGTATCTGCATTTGAATTTTGATAATCACTACATCCTAAGAGGATATCTTTCTTTATGGAAAAATGGTATGAGGCCTGATCCCATTCCAGTCTACTCAGAACCCCTGTGACCTGACCAAGGGCCCTTCTAGACTGATGAGCACCACGATCTACCTAGAATATGACGAGGCACTGACCTTTGGCCGAAGTCTGGTGCATACGGATCTTTTTGGAGGCTACAAACTGTAGCACTTTCTCTACATTATTCTTCATCTCTTGTTGGTTACTGGGACTCAACTGCACCCCACTCAACTTTTCTCCTGCTGTTAGGAGAGAGAAAATATATGATGTCATAGGGAGGAAGTTAGCAAAGTTTCTTAGCACCTGGACACAAGGGAAGGAAATACTTTCATGAACACTAAAATTATCTGTAAATATACAAGTGAATTAAGTCCTGGTGTTCATAGTTTGAACGGGGAAGAGAAAATCAAAGCCTTTTAGAAGGCCTTCAAGTTTTCAAATCTAAATCCACAGGTCTATGAAGTTACTGTGTGTACATTTATTCATTCAACAAATATTCATTGAGCACCCACTGGGTGCCAGGCATTATTCTGGGCCCAACAGAAAACAATGAACAAGGTAAATGAAGTTCCTTTCCTTACAGAGTTTACATCCATAGGTATGGCAGATAACAACCAAGTTAACAAATCAATGTTAATATAATCTCAGGTAATGGTAAGTCTATGAGAATAAATAGTGACCATGGCCTCTCTGATAATATATTTGTGCAGAGCCTGAATAGAGAAAGAGAGGTTCAGATTTGAGGAGGAAGCATCTGAGCCTGAGGAAGCACAGGTACACACCCCAAGGTGGAATGAACTCAGTGTATCTAACGAGCAGCAACAAGACCAGTGTGGCTGGAGTGGAGTGAGCAAGGAGTTGAGTCCCAAGAGAGTTCGGAGAGCTAAGCACAGCCAGCTCATGCAGCTTTGCGGACCACGAAAAGAGCTCAATGCTATTCTAAGTGTATGAGAGAGTGATGGAGAGTTTGAGACAAGGGAATAATATCTGTGTGGGTACAGATTACGTAGGAAGAAACTGGGAGGTTAGTCAGAAAAATGATGAAAATAGTCAAGGCAAGAGTTAATGATGGTTTGGTCTAAAGTGGGAGAGTATGGCTGCTGAGAAGTCAGACAGTAAGTATATTTTGAATATAAAGCAGACAGTACTTGTGACGGATTGGCTATGATACATGAGGAAAAGAATAATTAAGAATGTCTTAAAAAAAAAAGAATGTTTTCTGAGTGTTCTGCTTTAACAACTTTGTGAATGGTAATGTGATGTGTTCCTTAGATGAAGAAACCTTGAAGACAAAGATTGGTGAGTGAAAGGAAATCAAAAGCTCCTATCAGGACATGTGAAGTTACAGCTGCATGTGAGACATCCAAGCAGAGATGGTGGATATTCATGTGTAGAACTCATGGAAAAGTTAACGGCTGAACATACAAGTTTGGGAAGAGACCTCAAATATTTCTAAATAGCAAAGTCACAATATAAAGTAGTACTGAGGGCGGGGGTATAGCTCTGTGATAGAGTGCTTGCCTAGCATGCACGAGGCACCGGGTTCCACCTCTGGCAAAAAAATTAAAAAAAAATAGTATTTAAAGACTTGTGTTTGGGAAGATAAGAATATATATTGACCTTGTTTCTAGATGCATAGGATTATCTCTGGAAAGCAATGAAAAAAACTATTAACACTGGCTGCCTCCAGAATGGAGAAATACAGACAGAAAAAACACTTCTGACTTATTTATATCGTATTGTACCATCTGGATTTCCGGACAACCCAAGTACAACCTACTGAAGTAAGTGTTTCAAATGGGCTTTGGAACTAAAGCAGACCTAGGTTTGTACTTCTACTTTGGTTCTCATGGTTATGTGACATTGCAAAGTTGCTTAGCCTCTCTACACCTCTTAAAATGAGTAAAATAGTGCAGGTTGACTGTGACTAATTCATATGGTCCTCAAAAAGATTCAGAATTTGGAGCATTTCAGATTTCAGCATTCATAATGCTTAATAGTAAGTGTTATATTCAAATAACCTAAATTCAAAAAAAAAAAAAAACCCTGAAATCTGAAACATTTTTGGTCTCAAGCATTTTGGATACGGGATACTCAACCTATATTTATATCTATATCATAGTTAGCTACCTACTAAGTACTCAATAAATATATCTTCTCTTTTAAGCTTGCTTCCTGAAAGTGGAATAATAACATCTGTTTCCAAGGGTGTGAAGATTAAGTGAAATTAAACAAGGTAGAAAGTGTTTAATCCTGGCAGCTACATTTCCATTTCATTGTTACTATCACACTCTGATGAGTTCATGAGCTGCCCCAAGGTATTCAAGGATGGGCTGGCTGCCTGCTACAAAACTTGCTTCTTCCATACCACTTGCAGGCCCCACATATCTCAAGGACTCCAAGCAAGATCAGCTAACTAATAAAACAAGAAATGTTTGAGTACTTATTTTGTGCACTTGATTAAGGGTAGTGGAAACAGAAAAATTATACTGTCAGTTCTTTTTTCCTCTTTCCTATTAGCATATATTAATTGTACAAAGGGGTTTCATTGTGACATTTCCATATATCCATATAATGTTGTACATGCTATTAAATAACTCAGTCTATACAGCAGAGATAAGTAGATAAATCAAGATTACCACGACTACCTACCTATTCAATGAGAGAAATAATAACAGAGTTGTGGGCAAATTCTCTGGATATAAGGTTACCATCTAGTAAGAGTGATACCAGGACATCAAGAGGAAGAATCCTTTTATTAAGCATATAGTAGTGAGTATCACAGAGGGGTCCTTTTGCTGGTAACATATACTCTGTTTGCCTGGCTACTACTTCCTTTTCTGGTGTCAATTTAGACAAAGGTTCTTTTGGCAAGCCTTAGTTTAGACATCAATTCTTCTGGTAAGCCATTCCTTAACCCTAAGACCAGGCAGAGTGTCCCTTCTATGTATGCCCCTCTGTGCTTATCCCATAAGAATACTAAGAACAACAACAGAATTGATTTTACTTTCCACTCTTTCCAATTAGTTTGGGAGACTCTTAAGAGAGTAGAATGCTCATGTATTTCCAAACATAATACGGTGCCTGGCACATAGCATTTATTGACAATAAATAAATGAATTAACCTTGGGTAAGTATTTTAAGTCTTCTCTATTTCCACTGCCATACATTCTAAAGAAGAAACAACCTGCTTTGAAGGACATATGGAGGATAAAGAAGGTCACATTCTATGCTCGCATCAGAATCCAGGGCCAACTGACCAACAATCTCGATGAGATATGCCAGAATCACCCCATCCCGGAGATCCTGTCGCAGGTCCTGTACAGGCTTCACTGATGGCCTCTTCTTCAGCTGTGCATTCACCCAGGCCACATATGCCTGCAGCTGTTGCTGGAAAAGAACAAGGTGGAAATAAGGGAAAGGAGTCATAATTAATCTTATTCTCTATCGTGCACCCTGTAAGGCAACATGAGAGATTGGGATAGGATAATCTATATCTAGGAGGAGAAGGAAGAGGTTTTAAGGAAAGAAGAAAAATACCATCGTGGTAAACTTTGAGCATGTTCCAAAATTCTCTGGTTTTATGCTAATCTCCACAGATAAAATAATCTCTGACTTGGATGGCACTGCAGACACAGATGAGTGTATCAAGGACGATCACTCCTGCTTTCAACTCCTACTTGCTCTGTTGACAGTGTTGTGGGCTGGGCCCAGGACCTCAGCCAGTTTTGGGGTGAAATCACTGCTGCTAACAACCCACCATGCTTTCCAGTAATAATCCCTCATACACCATGTGCACAATAGCCTGTGACACTCTTACAAATTGATCTTGCAGAACCAGAAATAAACAATGAACCAAGATCAGGGGTGCCTCTCCCATAGCTGATTTCTTCAGAATGAGACTTAACTGAAATCATCTCACAGTCAACACAAGATTTACTCTACTGAGCCCATAATCCTAGATTGCTGCAGAGTTAGTTTTAATCTGTGTTTTATATTGTCAAAGAGGATCTGGTTACATAAAACTGACACAGAGAAGGAAAAAAAAAAAGTACAGTGAACAGGGTCCCCATACTAAGACCAAGAGGCATTTTCATTTACTTCAGACCACTAGGTAGGGACAATCTAACTAACTCATCTCAACCCTTGGCTAACTTTACATATTCCATTTTGTCCATGAAACAGAACTTGCATTCAGATGTTTATTTTAATTATTTGGTCAGAAGATGGACACTGACCTCTAAATAGCACCTAAACAACATCATAGTCCAGGCAGCTGCTGGTTTCCATAGTAGCCCAAGACCTTGAACCCAAAAATTAAGTTCAAGGGTTAACTGTATTACATTATAATTTGGTTAAAGTACAGCTTGTTTCTAAGTCCCAATGAAATGAAAATTATGTTAGAAATTACTCACTGGCTGCTTCCTGAGCTTAAATTAAATCTTCATTAGTTTTGGTCTCTGCTGATTCGTCGAAATAAATAAAGTCATTGAGAGACAATGCTAAGGTAATAATCTATCAGCTACTGACAAACTGTAGGAAATTGTACTGACAATTACCAGGAGGATGCAGGAGAGAGAGAGAAATCTAATATTTACTGAGTATCTACCACAAACTAAACACTATTTTTAGTGTCATACATGTTTAATTAGTCAATGAATATACTTGGCACAGGCTCTGACATACAGTTGATGGCTTACTTTTTGCTTTGGTGGTGGTGATAGTGGGGTTTGAACTCAGGGCTTTGGGCTTACAAGGCAGGTGCTCTACAGCTTTGAGCCATGCCTGTAGCCCAAATGATGCTTACTAAATGGTCATATTGTCATCACCATCATCCATCCAATCTGATTCTCAACAAGGCACTACAGAGTCAGTATTATCTCCTTTTTATAGATGAGGTTCAGAGAGGTTATGTAACCTCTCCAGTGTCCCCATAGTTAGGACATACCAGATCTGGTTTTAAAATCCAGTAAATGTGGTCCATATATTTACCAAGGCCTCTTGCTGTCTAATGCACTCTGCAGAACAGAGATGGCTGCATCTTCTGTCTAATATGGACCAGATACCCATCCCCAGCAGTCAGCTGAACCATGTAATGCTGCAAGGTTTGCTCCCATTGCACAGCCAAAGTACTGCCTAAAGCAGACCAGGCAAAGGGCACTTCTGGAGTGAACCACTCTCATCTAAGGAAAAGGCACTAAGAATAACGGCTGAGATCTGAGTACTGGGATTATATATAAAGCTCCTAGCCAATTTTCCTATATCCACTATCACTATCAACTCAGTACACATTCCTGCTTAGAATCTTTCATTGGTTTCCCATTATCAAGAGAAGATCCTATCTCCTTTATCTGCATGTGCTAGCCCATCTGTTCTCCCTACTCCTCCATGCATCCCCAGTGCCTCAGCACATCCAAACCATGTGCAGTTCCTTAAAGATACCATGCTTTCTCACCACTGCACTTTCCTCTACCTGCTATCTCTTTTTAAGTCTCAACTCAAGCATACCTTTTCTTGAAACCTTTCCCTAACTCTCTTACCCAGCTCAGACTCCTAAAGGGTATCATGTATCACACAGTTGGATCAACAATAATTTGAGTGTAGGCACTATCTTAAGTTATGGGGCTATCAAGAGTCCCATGACTTTAAGAAGCTTGCAGGAAAGAAAGGGAAGAGAAGAGGAGCAGAGAAGCTTGAAGGCTGGTAGAGGCAAGTACTATAACAGGGTGCATGGGTGCTAAGAGAGCATTAACCAGCCCCAAGTCCAAGCTTTAGGGGGTTTCCTGAGGGAGGAAAGGAGACAAAGAAGACTGTGAACTCAAAAGAGCTAAGGTTTGAAATATGCTCTCTGCAGAGTCATAATAGTTCAGAATTATTTCATTCTTAGAGTAACAGGTGTTCAACAAATATTTGTTTGAGTCAGTGAATCATTTGTCGTATTTCATCTGGCCAAGACCTGAGTTGACTACAGAAGTTAATTGTGCAAGGACAGACAAGAACAAGCATTTTTCATTAGGTCAAGTTAATTTCTACTTAAGTAGCCGTAGCCTTCTCTTGGCTGTAAAATTAAATTGTCTCTGATGTGAAACTGATTAGAGGTTTCAAACAGCACTTTCCATGCACATTAATCACAAAAGAGGACTCCTTCACCACTCTTCTGAACACCTATCCTGTCCCAAGACTACCATAGATCCTTTAAACACATTTTCTCCAACGTTAACATGCCAGGAAGATGTCAGTGTATCTACTTTGCTGATTAGAAACTGACACTCAAAATAAAGGTAAAATAACTTGTTCAAGATCACCTAGATAGTGAACTATAAATACGGGCTTCATGTGTAACTCCCAAGCCAAAGTGCATCTCTGAGGTTTGGGGAGAGGTTTTTTTTTTTTGTCTTTTCTTTTTTGGTGCTGGGATCGAACCCAGGGCCTCACACATGCTAGGCAAGCGCTGTATCCACCGAGCTACATCCCAGCCCATCTCTGAGGTTTAAAGGACTTCACTAAACCTCTCAGGATGATGCACCTAAGTCTACACCACCACCTCCGCCACATCCACACTGGAGTGTGGTAATGATCTACACTAAGTGGCTGTCTACCTCTCAAAGGTAGACATCAGCAGATCAGTCAGCAGCAGGGCATCACTTGGGAACCTGTTGAGAAAGCACATACCCCATCCTTCCCTACCTCTACCAAGTCAGAACTTCTATTTCAACAGGATGTCTTAGTGATTCACATGCACATTTAATCCCACCTACTGTTCCCACATCTGGCTGCACAAAAAGTTAACAAAGAAAAGGCTGGGGATGTAGCTTGGTGGGAGAGCACTTGCCTAGCATGCATGAACCGTGGGTTAATCCCCAGCAACACACTCACACCCACCACCACCACCACCACCAACAACAAAGGAGACTTTCTGAAAACAGACATCACCCCAAATATACCAAATTCTCTCTGGGAGAAAGGTACGTTTTATTTTCCCAAGTATATGTTTCCTACGGAGCTTATTTGAATCTTCTCTTAGCTAAACATTCCAGTTCCCTTAACCAAGGGGCTCACATCCCTGGTGACCCTTAGAATCACCTGGAATGCTGTTTAAAAAATAACAGTTCTTGGGCTCTACCAGAGACCTGCTGGAATTTGTGGGGGCGAGGCCCAGGCATATCAATATCCCTCACGTGCTCTTGGATACATGCAGAGATGCATGGCAAGGTGAACCACTGTCTAAAATGACGTGGTTACAAGGATTACTGTCTTCTGGTCTAAATCTCTCTGAAACCTTGACACTTAGAACTCAACACAATATTCTGAGTGAAAGAGGATGTGAAGCTTCCTCATGCAATTTCTTTCTTTCTTTTCCTTCCTTCTTCCTCCTCTTTCTTTCTTTCCTGCCTTTCTACTTTGGCCACCAGATCATATTGTTGACTTATGCCAACAGTCATTCAAAACCCTAAGTATTATTATTATTATTATTTTTGCAGTAATGGGGCTTGACTCAGTCAGGGCTTACACTTTGAACCACTCCACCAGTCTTTTTTGTGATGGGTTTTTTTCAAGATAGGATCTAGTGAACTATTTACCCAGGCTGGCTTCGAACCATGATTCTGATCTCTTTCTCCTGAGTAGGCAGGATTACAGGTGCCTGGTTTTTAAGTATTACTTTTTAATTTTTTAACTTTTCATGTGAAATAATTTCAGGCTTACAAAAAGGTAACAGAATCAAGAGTTCCCCTATATCTGTTGCTCAGGTAACCAAACTATTTACGCCTTACATAACCACAGTACAATGGTCAAAACAGGAAACTTAACACTGACACAATCTAGAGACCTTATTCAAATTTTGGGTTTTTTAAATTGTTTTAACTGACACATAAAAACAAAAGTTGTTCACACTAATGGAGTACCCTGCTATGTTCAATACATGTATAAATAATGTTTAAACCAGGTAAAAAACACATTTCATCTCCTCAAACGCTTACCATTTCTTATGGCTTATTCAAATGTCACCAACTGTCCCACTGATGTCTTTTTTCAGTCCAGGATCCAATCCAAAATCTCACACTACATTTAGCTGTTGTGTCTCTTTAGTCTTCTCCAGTCTGGCTCAGTCTTTGTCTTTCCTGACCTTGACTTTTTGTTTTGGGAGGGGGGAAGAACAAGTCTGGGGTTTGAACGCAGGACCTTGGAATTGCTATGCAGGACCTTGACAATTTTTTGAAGACTATTGGCCAGTAATTTAGAGAATGCCTCGATATGGGTTTGTCTGAAGTTTTCTCATCATTATTCAGTTATGAATTTCTGTCAAGAACACTGTGCCCTTCCATGTGCTTCATCTCAAAAGCTATACAATGTCAATGCATCATGTCACTGGTGAGGTTAACTTTGACCAC